GGGAAAGAAAAAAAAAGGGAAAAAAAAAAAAAAAAAAAAAAAAAAAAAAAAAAAAAAAAAACACATCTTAGTAAAACCAATACCTTCTCAGCTTCGCATCGAAGCTAAAATGTAAAAAATAAAATAGAGAATTTTCACCCAAAAAGAGGATTTAGTAATTATTTTCATTGTGAAGACAAAATAAAGTCCGAATTTTTTTTTCGCATAATAAAGTAAATTACATTAGCTTTAATTTAAGATATATATAAAAGTGTCAGACCTTCCGGAACATTTTCAAAAGATAAGTTGAAAAAGTTAATTTTTTGTGAAAAAGTTGTCATTTTAAATCCCCCCCTGTGGGCAGAAAAAAAGTCAAATTTACAAAAAAAATATACCAAATAATAGGTAAAGACATCAAGCATCTATATAAAAAAATCCATACATTTTTCAAAAAGTAATATCTCATGTATTTATGAAAAAATTATATTGATACGTTCATTTTTGAAAAAGTTACGGCAGTTTTTTGTAAAAAAAATTGAAAAAATTTCGAAAATTAGCGATTTTTAAATTTGTAATTTTTTTGGAGGTTTCCCCCATTTACGGGGAACGAGGGAAATTTTTTCAATTTTGAAGGGTAATGTCTTCGACTAGATACAATTTGTGATCTTTTGACGTATCGTTGAAAGAAATCAGTTCGATCAGAGCTGAGAAAAAGTGGTAACAGACACAAAAAAAAAAAACACATCATGGTAAAACCAATACCTTCTCAGCTTCGCATCGAAGCTAAAATACGATTTTTGTAAAAAAAATCTTTTTTATATTTTTAATTTTATAATGCTATAACTTTTTGAAAGACGTATGGATCAATATAATTCTTTTTTTTGTAGATGCATGATGTCTTTACCTATCATTTGGTATATTTTTTTTATAAATCTGACTTTTTACCTGCCTACAGGGGGGGATTCAAAATGACAACTTTTTCACAAAAAATTGACTTTTTCAACTTAAATTTTGAAAGTGTTCCTGAAAGTCTGACACTTTTATATAAATCTTAAATTAAAGCTAATGTAATCTACTTTATTATGTAAAAAAAAAAATTCGGACTTTATTTTGTCTTCAAGGTGAAAATGGCTACCAAATGCTATTATTGTGTGAAAATTCTCAATTTTATTTTTTACATTTTTAACTTTATAATGCTATAACTTATTGAAAAGTGTATTGATCAATATAATTTTTTTATGGGAAATACTATTTTTTAATAATCCCTTTTTCATTCGACATACTTTATCTTAATCAGGATATTAATAAGGAACTAGCAGTTTATGAAGCTTTTGGAATAATCCACCAACTTTTTAAAATTAAACACTATCTAAAGATTTGCATCGAAGCGTTTTTTTTTTATAGTGATTTTAATGACTGTCAGATATCATTATACTTGATCCAACTATGCCACGTCACCACTGTGCTGCGACCCCCCTGTGCTGGGTTTTATATTATGATCCTCGAATCACCCCAAATGAAAGTAACTCTCACTTTTATCAATTCAACTTTCAATATTATCACATTTTAATCTTTTATTATTCAGTTCAAAAGCAAACACATTTATTTATTTGATTAAGTTTTGAGTTCATCACTTTAAACTTTGATATTATTAATACTGACTTTGAGAAAGATTTAACAGGATTATTGACATTTTTATACATTTTATATAGGCGGGAGGAATAGTGCAGCTAAAAATAAAAAATTATTAATATTATTTTAATTCAAAAAAGTTATAAATATCAATAAATAAATAAGTTTATAAAGAAATAAAAAAAAGATATAACCAAATTACTAGTAAATTTTGTATTATTTGATTTGTTGCTTTTACAAAACAACCCTGAAAAAACGTGCTTCTATGGTAATTAGATTCTATGAAAAATCTAAATTAATTAGGTTTACTTTTAATCTAAAGAGAAAGTAGTATTGTGTAATGCAATATTGGATCACTAAGCTTGTAGTATTATCGTAGTAATTTAACTATACTTCTAAAGTTTAAAGATATTATGGAAATGAATAAATTTACAAAACATTATAGATGAGAAGATTGAGTAATTTAACAGTACATGTCTTTCTCAATTTATCAATTATGAAGTATTTTTTATGTTTATTCCTTAACTTTATAAGGGTGTTAACTTTATTATTTCAAATGGAAACATACATATTTAACTTGTATATTTAATAAATAATGATCTAATTAAGAAAATGATTGGTCAATAACAACTTATATATTTATTATATAAAACAAGTAATTTAAAATAAACATTGTTTATGAGTTGTAAATGTTTTTATTTTGATCACTAATCATTTCCCGGCAATTCTCTTCCTACTGTCTAGATAGAAAAATGTCAATAATTTAAATAAATAAATTACTAAAATAGTTGTCAAAAATTTGTTATCGACCAGTCATTTTCTTAATTAGATCATTATCTATTGAATGAGTTAATAAATTTTGCATGTTGTCATTTGAAAAAAGAAAATTAACACCCTTATAAGGTATAATTAATGAACATAAAAATACTTAAAAACACATTTAATAAAAAAAACATGTACCTAAAAGAAATCAAAACAAAAATTCTTTCTATTATTTTTATTTTTCGATTAATTAAGTGGTTTATAATAAATGAATAACTCTGTATATTATATTCTTGTAATGTTACTAAACAAGCTCATTCCAGTTATAAGAATATAATTCAAGTATTAAATTTAAAAACTTCAAAGGTAGGAATTCTTTTGTTATATTTCTGGAAAAACTATTAAAAATGAGATTGATGATTCCTTTCTTCTAAGTTTAATTAGCTTTATAACAAAGCCTTATAATATACGAAACAATTACCTATTTTATATCCTTCAATTATCTAAAAATTATTTAGAATTTTCATCAATTAGTATAAAATAATTCGTTGATAATACATTTCTAATAATATTATATTTTTATATATTACAAATTAGTTTGTATAATACTTTTGTCTTGTTTTATTAATTGGAATAGAATTAATTGAAAACAAAACTGTAAAATTTAAGTAATTTGTTTATATTCTGTGTAGTCAGTAGTTTTAATTTACTATTGTTATTATCATTATAAAATAATTTGTACATACATTTAAATTTATGTCCTTTATATTGCTCAACTAAATTGACATCAACATTTTAGAAAATTATTTAAAGATAGTGCATATTTATTTTGTATGTTATATTATTGTATTTAAAGGTTATAAACTTAGTGTGAAAATTAAACTATGAACAGACTAATTATATATACATAAGAGTTTCAAAACAAAATATAAAAATAATTGTATCGAAAAACTTACCATAAACGATAAACAATTAAATTTATTTATAGATAAATTAATATCAAAGAAATATTATTATCATAGTATACACTTATTGACCTATGATATTTTGTTTCTATTGATCCGATCGAGTAAAGGTAAAAAACTAATAAATGTTATTATCTAAAAGAGTTAACTGTAAATTTAATAATTTATTAATTAACAAATAATATTTAATATTTATTTTGGTATTCCCAAACAACATTTTTTAGTAATATGTTTGGAAAACTTGTAAGTGTAAAAGATTATGAAAACTATGCAGCTAATACATTATCAAAAACAGTTCTTGATTTCTATAAAAGTGGAGCTTGTGATGAATATACACTTTCACTTAATGAACAGGCGTTTAGTAGGTATATTTAATATTATGGGTTAATAATAATTTTTTCTATTGATAAGGAAATTTTTTCTACAGGTTACGGATCATCCCTAATATGTTACGTAATGTTTGCAACCGTAACTACAACTTAACCATCTTAGGTAATCAAGTGAAAATTCCAATTGGTATATCTCCATGTTCTATGCATAAAATGGCCCATGAGGATGGAGAATGTGCATCTGCTCAAGGTATTTTTTTCTTGATTGTTTTATTTTACTAAAATATTAAACATTGAATAATATATATATAAGAATACTACTTTCAGCTGCTGGAAAACATGGAGCAATATTTATACTTGCAACATTATCTACGTGTAGCATAGAAGAAGTAGCACTTGCTGCACCTGAAACTATTAAATGGTTTCAATTATACATTTACAAAGATAAGTATGTGTTTGATATGTTTATTATGTATTTGGTGTTACAAGTAATTTTTAATTTTAAGAGAAATAAATAAGACATTAATAAAACGAGCTGAAAAAGCTGGATACAAGGCTCTTGTAATAACTGTTGATGTTCCAGTTATGGGTATTCGATACAAAGATGAAAAAAATAAATTCTACTTACCTAGTTATTTGAAGTAAGTTACATAATTACATTTTCATAGTGTTCTAAAACCTGACCAAATGGAAAATAAGGTGATAAAAAAAAAATCATGATGTTTCTTTTGCATTTGATTTAGTCATTTGAGTAACAACATAAATAATTTGTTTTTAACAATATACTTTTTTCACTATAAATAAATAAACATGAATTCAAAAGTTAGTTTTTTGTTTTATCTAATGGTAAAAATGATTTTTTTTGAAGTCATTTAAGAAATAACAATTAAATATATAAAGATTAAATGAAACCCGGTAAATTGTTATAGACTAAGAATTGTATTGATAATTTTGAATAAAGTATTATAAAGGAAACATGTCGTTTTCATAGCTGTGTATAAGACAACCATAAAGGTTCAAATTATTTTCCAAAAATTTGATATACTGGGCTTATGATGTTTCTCAAATAGGCGATTCATTTAATGATATGTAACATAATATATTTAGTAAAACAAAAATAGATATGACTGTTTTTTATTTGATTTGATTAGACCAGGTAATTTTACCGAAGAAAAATATATTATACCCAAATGTGATGGTTCTGGTTTAACAAACTATGTTACTAGTTTATTTGAAGAAAAACTTGTGTGGGAGGATGTTAAATGGCTTAAAAGGTAATTTTAATTAAATGAAAAAATATTTTTTATACAAATTATTAACTTTTTATTTATTTCAGTATAACAAATCTACCAATAGTTGTAAAAGGAATTTTAAGTGTAGCCGATGCTAAAATAGCTGCTGATATTGGATGCCATGCAGTTTTTGTTTCAAATCATGGTGGTAGACAGCTAGATACTGCACCTGCTTCTGTATGTATAAAATAGTTCATACCTCTATTGAATTTTTATTGTAAACTAAAACTTATATTTTTTTAATTATCTTAAGTTAAAAAATATTCAAATAAAGAATATTAATGGGTGCTTTATGATTTTACTTGAATCATGAATTATATATTTTTATATTTCACTTAATTATATTTTTGTTAATACAATAATATTCATTTAATAACTACTAATTTCTACTTAAAATATAATATCTTTATTAAGAGTCCAACAGAATTAGTAACTATTTAAGTTTTTTTACCTTAAGTAAAACCTTTCTTTTTTACTTGTCATAAATTTCTTTAAATTTGGAAAAACCAAATAACCGAATATTTTTAAGTTAATATTATTTTTGGTATTTGGCCTCAAATATGTGGTATTATTCAGTGTAAAATATTTAGTATTATTTGGATCAGAATTTTCAACAATTGCTATAACATTATTTATTTAATTTTATAATAGTTATTCAATATCCATTTAATAATATATCCCAATATATAGATATATTTGCAAAATAAATATAATATTGAGAAAAGTTGTTTGGCTCTTATTAATTAAACAATTTTTAGCTTCTATGTAAAGCTGAAAAGGTATTAGTTTTACTATGTGCTTTTTTCTTTGTCTGTTACCACTTTTTCTCAGCTCTGATCGAACTGATTTCTTTCAACGATACGTCAAAAGATCACAAATTGTATCTAGTTAAAGACATTATCCTCCAAAATTGAAAAAATTTCCCTAGTTCCCTGTAAATGGGAGAAATCTCCGAAAAAATTACAAAATTTAAAATTCCTAATTTTCGACATTTTTTCAATTTTTTTTTACTTAAAACTGCCATAACTTTTTTAAAAATCTCCACATCTCCCCTAGTCTAAATTTTATAGTCATGATTACTTCTGTATTAATGGTACAAAAATTATTATCGACCCATCATTTTCTTAATTAAACATAGATATCTTATTCCTGAAAAGTCTGAAATAGTCTGTGAATTTGAATGAAAATATAACCTAGAATTTTCAAGGCTTAATCAATATGCCCCTTTTTATTTATTTTCCCTACTTTGGTAAATTACTTAAAATGTAACTTATTGAAAAACTCTTAACAACATTTTTTTTAATAAGTTTTAAAATACCTAAAATAGTCATTCTACAGTTTTAATAGTTAGTGAAGGTTAGGAAAGACATTTACTTATAATAGAATAATTTTTTACCTTAACAGTGGAGTGTGGTGTTTTTACAAATATGATATATTTTTTTCTTTTGATTATTCAGCTTGTTAAAAAAGTTAATATTTTCCATAAACTAGTATTATAACAAATTAAATGCATAAAATACCTAAAGCTAAAAATATTATTTTAACTTACTATGGAAATTAAAAGACAAATCAAATATTGGGTTGATATAAACCCTAGTAGTAAATATTTTTTATTTGTAAACTTTGCAATAAAAGTAGGTCATTAAGCAATATAGGTGTTCAAGCATTGTTAGTTATTTAAGATCTTCTAATCATCAACATATAGTTAAAGCTTTTAGAGGATCTCAACATTTAGTACCATTTATTAATGTTCCTATACAAAATGAAAAGCCAAACTTTCAGTTTTCTACCTTAATGGTAAACAAACCTGAAAAAAAGATAATAAAATTTAGGTAAAAAATTTGTTTTTCCTAATAGTGAAATTGCTAAAAGCATACTACAGTGAACAAAACTATCTTAATGAAAAACATTTGTACTAGCCAAAGATTTTCAATGGGATATTTTTAAGTATAAAGAGATAGTGCTAAAAAGCAATTAGTAGTAGATAAATAAAAAAATATAAGAAAACCAATAAAGTCATAACATTTTATTATCAATATTGATTTTGTTATGNTCATAACATTTTATTATCAATATTGATTTTGTTATGCGATTAATTGAGTATGTTATAATAAATGGACCACCTTGCATAAAAGTTATAGGCTTTTCAAAAAAATGTATTATTAATTTTATTACTTTTTCAAACTATTTGGTCAAATAAAATTCGACTGAATAGTTTAAGTAATGCCAAATAACCAAATATATATTATTCTAAAAAATATTAGCTGGATACCAAATAGCTTTCAAATATTCGATTCATCACTACTTTATAGTTAATTTAAAATATATTTTGTTGTTGTTCATAAATATTATTCAATTAATAATAGTTAAATCAACTTAAATTAATTCAAATTGTTTTAATGTTAATTAGATTGAAGCTTTACCAAGTATAGTTAAAGAAGTTGGGCATAGAATTGATGTCTACCTTGATTGTGGTATAAGACATGGAACTGATGTATTCAAAGCATTAGCACTTGGCGCTAAAATGGTGAGGACAAAATTCAATTTTCTTTAAGATATACAGAGTGATCGAAATCTGATAAGACACTCATTTTTTCAGAAAATATTGAGAATTTTAAATTTTATTATAGAGAAAAAATATCAAGTTCAAAAAACTTTACAATAAACCATTATTTTTTTTCGTCCCTTCAAGGATAAAAACCCTTATTTATAATTTTCTTAAATGGGAACCCTTATTTTTAACTTTATAATATGATAGAAAAAAAAATTACAAACAATTTTGTTCTTATAATTTTTTTTATCTGATCTAACCGTTTGTCCATTACAGCTTGTTAAAGTTAAGCAATTTTAGACCAAATTTCTATTGTCATTTTACTGTATTAAATACAGAAGTCATCATTTTTATTTGCTGTTGCATAAACCAAATTTTATTGATCAAGTTATAACAGGTAAATTAGATATAAAAATTTACTACGCACTAAATGAGTGATAACAATAGTAGATTCAAACCGGCTTTTTGGTGTATTATTAATAGCTAAGTCTATGGTTTTGTAAGACTAAAGGATCTAACAAAAATACCCGTTGCACTGCCACCGATATTATGAAACGTAATAAATGACAATATTTTTTCTGGAAGTCAAAATCTTTAAACAATTATAAAACGTAAACAGTTGTTCGGATAAAAAAAAATATAAGAACAAAATTGTTTGTAATTTTTTTTTCTATCATATTATCAAATCAAAAATAGTGGTTCTCATTTAAAAAAATTATAAATAAACATTTTTATCCCTGAAGGTATAAAAAAAAATTCATTTAACTTTATATTATTGTAGAGTTTTATAAACTTAATAATTTTTCTTTTTACAAAAATTTTAAATTCTCGATAGTTTCTGAGAAAATAAGTGTCTTACCAGATTTCGATCACCCTGTATACGAGGACTATTCAAAAAATAAAGTTACAAGACATCTTTAGGATATAGAATGATATTTTTTGTTTTTCAAATTTTGTACAGATATCATGTTTAGCAAGTTGTCATGAATAAAATTATAGATTTAGTAAATTTTATATAGACACAAAATGCTCTTATGTGCCAATTACCACCAAAAAGTCTTGAATTGTCCCCACCACTTAGATTCAGAATGCAGTTATACGCTTTTTCTTTTGAACATACAAATTTATCATCTATATATTTCAGACACTTATTAAAAATGATAAACTCAATGTTAAGTGGATAAAATTGTTTTAAATAACGCAGACAATAATATCTAAAAAAACTTACATTTGACTTGTTGCAAAAATTTGTAAAATTTGACTATCAATCTCTTATGACCTTTTTGAACATAAATATTTATCTAGGTTCCCCAGAATAATTTTATTTTTTGGTAACAAGTTGCCTTGTATGTGATAAACAAATTTTTTAACAAATATCTATATAACTAAATAAATTTATTTTATTAGGTATTTTTAGCTCGGCCTATTTTGTGGGGCTTAACATATGATGGTCTAAAAGGAGCTGAAAATATTTTAGGAATTATTATAAATGAATTTGATAATACAATGGCTTTAACAGGTTTGTACAAAGATATTAAGATTAAATATATGAAATCACTGTTGACGTGTATCATTTATTGTATAATTGTAGTTTTTAACATAATATTATAAATATATAATATGTAATATTTATTTTTATCAGTTTTTGATGAAAATTTTGCTGGAAATTTATGTAAATTATCATTTCAATGCTATGCAGTGTCTCAGATCTAACTAACAATGCTTATGACTTGTTACGTGGCTATTTAGGGTTTGAGCCTAAATACTAATCAACATATTCTAAGCAACCAACAGGGTATAACTAGTTTGGCTATATCCACCTTAGATACTGAGGTTTCCTATTTAATTTATATTCCCTTAGACGAATATACTCCTACCAAGGATCACACTACAATATAAATATAACACTCTTGGTTAATAATAGTGTAAATATTCATTAAAGTAACTAAATATTAAATAAGCAATACTAACTGCTGGACATCTAGAGATGATAATAATCTATCATGAAGATAACGGTATCACACCCACACACACACTATCTTGGTGTTAGCTAATTTAAGTTAATGTCTTAGGCTATACGAGTAATAGTGATGATAAAAAGTTAACTGGCGTTTGGGACATTTTTATTGTAGCATGGGAGATGTGAATCCCAAAAGTATTTATGTGTTCAGTCTGCTCTCTTGTACTAATACTTGTTTCACTGCGTTAATGTTATAAGCCTAATCGATTGTACAACAATGTTATAAGAATGAGAATATAAGCAGATATATGTGATAGTATCACACCTTTGAAACAATTATCATTTTATTGACATTTTTTTAAAAATAATTATTGTCATTTTAGACTACATTTATAATATATTTTTTATTATTTATTACTATAAAAAAAATTACTTTTTTTAATATTTTACAATTGCTTTTTTTTACCACTTGTAGTATAAAACATTTTATTGGATTAATGATTATTTTAGAACAAATACTTATCAATTTACAAGCATTTCAATTCATAAAGTAGGTANTATCAATTTACAAGCATTTCAATTCATAAAGTAGGTATGTTGTACAATGAATACACCTATACTGGTGTATGTATACTTCATCCACATTTCATACTCACTCTACTTATTAAAATGCTGGTAATTCAATAATTACTTTTCTTTAAGTTGTTATTGACTCACTAAAACGTTTTGTAAGAAAAATACTTAAAAATGATTCATATATCTTTTTCTTACTAATGATAAATAATGAAAAACGTGATTTATACAGGTTCAAGAAGGCAATAATTTTAAATAAATGAATTTCAAAAAATGATAATTGGATCAAAAGTTATAAGCGTCAATTAGATCTGAGAAATTGTATCTATAAATAAATGTAACTATAAAATTATTTTCATAATTTTTTTTGTGTTATAAAAAGTTATACCATATTAAAATTATAGTGTCATTTTAATATCATATTACAGTGATATGTCAAAATATTTTAATTTGAGTTTGAGCAGATTTATAAGCAACTCTAACTTATTTCTAAAACTCATATCAATTTTTTTTCGAATATGTACTAATTTAATTGGATTTGTATATTAGAATATATATTCTCTAACAATAAAAAAAGATTTCTAAGTTTGGTATTGTTTATTATTAAAATTAATTTTGATATACTTTGATTGCTTTAAAATAGTTTTAAAAAATTACAATTAGAGAGTTTAATCAAAGAATGATATTCTGCAAGAGCATATTTATATGATTATACTTACATGCCAAAACCTAACTATTTTTATTTTCTTTTATTTACAGGTTGTAGGACATTAGATGACATTAAAAAAGATATGGTTGTTCATGAATCTATTTATTCAAAACTTTGATTTTTTTTTTTATGTAAAAACAATTTTACCAATAATTTTGTAAATTATTTTATTATCTTATCAAATGTTGAATTTATATATATTATATACAGTGTAATTTAATAAGATTACTAGCCTCCTTTTTATTATTTGTTAAATAATAATTTTTTTTCAAAATTTTATTTAATACTATAAATGTTAGTTAACATTAAGTTTATTCTAAGAAAAAAAAAATTTTTAAAGGTAAATTTTTGGATTAACTGTCAAAAGTAAAATGGGAATATATTATTTTATTTGTTTGAGATAAAATGGAAAATTGTCTAAATAAAATTTTGTCTATAATTTAAACTCATAAATTAGGAATTCTATCTTCTTTTTCCTCGCCCTAATCCCAACTACATGGAATCGGCCACCCTTATCCTACACTTCCTCTACATCTTCTTCCTTGAACATTCATTTCAATAACTGTTCTTACGGCTTCCGAAATTAGAAATTCTATATAAGCACTTAATGAGCATCTATTAACATAAGTGACCCATCAGTCGTGAAAAAAAATGTAAATGTAAATGTATAAATGAGGTACAACAAATTCATGAGATATTTGTTTTTATTTAGTATATTTACAAACATTATTTGTGTCTTAAGTTATATGCTGACGTTTGGAACTACGAGATGAGCCCTGCTCATCTCGGAGTGATAGATACGGGTCCGAGGCTGTAAGTTAAAACTTCACAGCCGACAGTATAATTACAACTTGTAACTATACTGCAACTAGTTTTTTATTACTACGATATTCGCAGGTACACAGCATTTATTATCAATGGTAGTAAGGCATATTGTTGTGAGTTTAGAAATATACAAACTGGCAATACAGAAAGTATATCTATTGATATTCGTAATTGACAATTAGCACTCCGTGACTGTGACAGCGACGTCTTAAAAAACCAATTAGCTACCTGTATTTGTGAACCATTGTGTATTATACATGTATATTAACTCTAAAATTTGTGACTATAAATGTTTATATCGAATAGAATTATATTAAAAATTCAAATGTCATTTATTATTACATTAAAAACTCAACACATTTTATTAAATTCAAAATAAGTTAAATATATTCAAAAAATAAATTAAAATAGAAAAATTTTAATTTAAATACAACAATAATTATTGTTATATTCTGATGATTAGTTGAATAAAAATGTAAAGTATTACACAATATCATTACTGATTCAAAATACTGGAAACCCCCAAAAAACTTCTGTCTATATTTTTTATAGCAACTTTATATTTCAGTACAAAATGTAGTATTTTCAATATTTCTTCTAATGCATAAAAGAAATCATTATTCATTATGATATAACGCGATCCACCATTCAACAAGAATTTGTGTCATAACCTTAAAAAATAGTGGAAAATTTATTCAAGGTTTAAGGTTTAATATTATAATTAATTATGACCATATTTATTTTATTGCTTATTAATAATAAACAATATGAGTCCTCATTTGTATTATAATACAGATAAGAACAGTAATTAGATACAATGATGAGATATACAGAGTGTTCATTAAATAAGAAACAACTATTTTTACAAACAATGAGAACACTAGAAACCCGTTTCCTTACTTACTGAAAACTCTATAATTTTAAGTTCTTTATTTAAAAAAACCGGTGAAAAATGAGTAAACGAACAAAGATAGTGGTCAATTGGTATAAACTCTTTTACACATTAAATCTTTAAAATGCTATGGGCATCATTTTGAATTATTAATGTACTAACAAAGAAGTAAGATTCTTTTAGAGCACATAATAAAAATTAAATTTTGACTTCTCAAGTTACATATCGATCCAGAAGGAATTTTTAAAACTAATAAATCATATTATGTTTTTGATAAATTACATTATCACAAGATATCAATCGTGGTGTATTCTTAAAAATGTTTTAAATTTAATTAACGAATGAAAATTATCTAATATTTAGTCTACTGGCTAAAACCTAGTGATAAAAATTAATCGAGTTTTTTAACGTTTCATCATTAAATTAAGTAACATTTTTATTGACCGATAATAAAAATGTATATTTATGAGAAGTAACTTTATACAGAATGTTCCACCATGTTCTAATATCTTTAATAACTGTGATCCAGCGAATATTTTTCTTTAAATTACTTT